TTCATTTAAACATGTTTGTGAGATTCTCTCCTCTCAGATTTACTCATAAAGTCTAGAATAAGTTTACAATAACGTCTCTACGAGCCTCTTTCTGCTCTTTTAGCCTTTTAAATTTCAAAGAAACCAACAAGTGACGCTCTGATAGAAAGTCTCTGCTGCTGAACTCTCTGCAAACCAACAAGAAGACGGTTTGAACAGGAGCAACATTAGAGCTGCTTTCTGTTGCTTTTCTTCTTTACGTCTCTAAATCCAAAAACCATGTTATAATAAGAAAAATACAGAAATCACTAAAACAACATCCAAACTGAAAACAGCAAGAACTGATGGATCTTTCGATTTTTCCAAAGGTCCTTGAACGAATACGTCGGATAAAATCAACCAAATCTGAGCTTAAACTCAACATGTTTAATCATAAATCACTCTTGTATTCATCTCATAGAAAAAATACAACGTTTGCACCGAACAGATTCTGTAAAAAAAATTAAAATTCTGCACCTGTGATAAAAATCTGCAGAGTTTTCTGCTGAACTGCAGGCAGTGTTCATACAGAACAGTTAGAAGACAATTACAGAATCCAATTAAAAGTGCAGTAAAAAGTAGTAATTAATCTAGAGTACATAGAGCCACTATTTACTTCCAGTACTGGAAACATCTGTCAGCGTCTTGGACAAACGTTGCACGTGTTGATTTCAGGTTTTATCAATTTTTGCAAAATAAATAATCCAAGAAATCCAACTTTTGATTTTACTTTCCTTTAAGATTTATCTCATTGTGCACAGGAGACATTTCACAGAAGAGTTTTCTCTCCCTCTTCGTGGTTGTTCTGTTTCTACAGAGGTTCAGGACTTTATGTTGCAGTAAAACATGAACCCACAGCGAGTAAAAATGACACAAAAAACACCCAGAAACTGCTCAGAGTTCAGAGGGTTAAACAGCAGTCCTTCTGTTTTATATCTCTTTTTTTGTGTTGAGGACAAAGCAAGAGAATTCTGCTCTGGAAAATGACAGTTGTGTTTGACATGTTAGAAAAGAAAGTCCAAAGGGTTAAAGGAGTGTTAAATGATTCTGATGGGCAGTGGAGCGTGCTGTAAACACAACCACCACTGATACTCATTCATGTTTGTGTCCAATATTCGCTCCGGAGAAGAAACCCTCCAGTGTGTGGGCCGCCCCGCTGGCCCGGTGGCACACAGTGGTTCCATCAGAGCCTTTTTCACCCAAACAGCAGGAAAACTGTGAAGTTACAGGCTGTAAAACCAGAACTGTGCCGGGTGGAGCTGGCCGCTAATTCTCCCTCAGTCATTCGATCCTCTGTTGCATAAAAACCGAGCGCGGCCTCTAATGACTTTTCACACTTTTTGTTTAAATACATGCGATTCGGTGCCTCTGAAGCGCTGCTGGTTATCGGGTTGCAGCTCACGGCTCGCGTATCTGAAGGCCGGAGCTCTTTTATAGCCGACAAATGCTCGCAACCCAATACGTCCAGCAGCAGCAGCAGCAGAAGCAGCAGCGACTGTGATTACTTTACAGTCACGAGGCATTTATGTTATTGTGCCTGAAGCCTGAAGCGTGTGCGGTGTGTCTAATTACCCGGTAGTTGTTGGGTATATCCATCTTGCTCCGGAGGAACTTTGCTAAGTGCATGACGGACATGGCTGCTGGGCACTGCAGGAAGCGTTTACCGTTGGACTGAGAACAAAGGAAAGTGCAGAGAGGGGACATAAATCAGGGATGAGGACCAGAAAACCACAACGAACCGGTCGACTCTGCGTGACTTTTGCTTTACCTTGTCTCCCTCCAGCTCCGAGTGCTGCCTCTCGTTATTTCTGCAGGAAGAGATGTTTTTTTAAAAAAAAGAGGAACAATTAACAATTTCTTTCACGCACACAGAAAAGTCTGCAGGTAGCGTTTGGTCACACGGTGTTCCCACTTTGAGCCACATCATTACATTTCATTGCTTTTCCACCTGTTCCAGCAGCAGAAATTAATAAAAACTTTTCGCTCCAATTGTTAGGAAAAAAAAAAAAGAAAGAAAGCAGCTCACTTGTTCCTCTCGTAGAACTGTATGGACAGACTGATGATTTCATCCTCTGCTATGTTAAACGTCTCCACCACTTCCCCCGGTTCCAGCACTCGGTTCTCTGCGTAAAAGTCCCGCCTCCGCTTCATCTCATCTGAAACGAAACGCATCATTAAGAAAAAAAAAACCTGCAGCAAACGCCATAAATAAGAGCCGACGGCGAGGAATGTGGTTGTACCTTTGAATAACCCCGGAACAAGCTTATAAACGATATCTTGTAGAGTTTTATCCGCTCTGGAGGAAGAAGGAGAGGTTTACAATGTTAGAGATAAAAGAAGTCGCATGCTTGTTTGTTTTTTTAAAGAAGGAATGAGTGATATCGGCGGTTACCTGATGCTGAGCTGTGGACACGTCTTGTGAACCTGGACGTCACATCGAGGACAGAACTTATTCGTCTCAAGGAAGGCAACGATGCAAGTTTTACAAACTGCAGGAGGAGAGAAAAGACAACGTTAGTGTGTGAAATTCAAAGTAATACAAGAACACAAACACTGCTGCTGTTCATGGCTGACAGACGAGGCTGAATGATAAACGAACAAAACATCAGTCAAACATAAGGCGTGATTTTAGTTGGGGTAGAAATTTGTGCTTTTTTTTTTTTTACGACCAAAACAACTAATTAAATTGATGATTTGATTTTTACTGCACTTTGTTCCAAATACATATCAGTTAATTGATTATTTGACATTAATATTTCACTTATTTAACCTATATTAACCTTTAAGGCAGAAGCAGAAGGAGGTGCATGTCAGAGAACGTCCTGCTGATCGGCTGTAGTACCTGTTTGCTCCACCAGGTGGAGCCTCTTAGTCTTAAATGCTGTATTGACCAGAGTAGGATCTCAATCCGACTACGATCAGTTCACGTTGACAAGCAGAGAGCATTGTGGGGGTTTGGCTGGCAACGGGCACCATGACAGAGGCTTGTGTGCCGCTTAATGCCCGCTAGCTGGAGCGCTCGTTTTGTAAGTAAGCGACTTCTATTAGCTGAAGCTTCAGTATCATGTGTTAAAGTTTCCTGTTCCAATTTCATGTGCAATATCTCTCTACTTCCTTAGAATCATTGTCAGGATTACGTCTTACTTTTTCTAAGCTAGTCTTATTTTAGATGTTTTATTTTTATTTCCAGTCATTTATTGTACTTCTTTAGTTCTGCTTTTTTATTTGGCACCAAATGTATTCTGATGTTATTTTGTTTCTCTGAGCAATATCTGGCAAAAGAACGTCCTTCAGGAAGTTTCATCTTATCTTGCTGTCTATGCTATTATAGCCGCCAATGCCACCAGACATATTTAAAGCAGCTACATCAGGACACGGAAAGACGTTCAGTGAGTTTATTCTGTGTTGTTAAATAGTCAGTTACTGATTGATGAGGCCGCCAATTATCAGCTTAAAAAAAAGAAAGCTGTTAAAACTATACATCAGACGTGCCTCATGTCTGTAGCAGCACAACGCCTCATTTATCACCGTCTGTTGTTTATTGAAAAAAATGCAGCTCCTGTGATTTCCATAATATTTCGAATGACCAACAAAAACTGAGATGCGCTGTCCTTTAACCCCAAACATAAAACAAGGACGAGTTGTTTCACCTGCACATTAAATTAGATATTAAATCATGACAGATCCTGTCTGAGACGCAGAAAACTCGACCACGAATTTGCTGCTATTTAGGCCGGAAAACTGTGATTTCTTGTTACCAGGACGTCCGATGACTTTGGACCTTCTTGCATCACTTTATCCCAGCAGAGCAGAACCTTCAGGTACCGAGTCAACGTTATTTATTCAGCACATTTAAAGCTGTGGAGCCAAAGACCAGACCGGCATTACAAACTAACCTAAACATAGAAGACCCTACTGTGTTGTTTCTAACGTGACTTTATAGATTAAAACCCTTCAAAAATTCTATAAAATACAACTTTACCGGACTATGATAAATACTAAGACTAAGACGACACAGTGTTAATAATTAAGGAGAGTAACCTGACTAATTTAAATATTAAGATAATTATTTATTAATCTCACAGTCGGGAAATTTGCACAAAACACTGCTTGTACAAATATATTAACAGATTTCTGTATGTGTAGAAAAATAATATTAAACAGACACTTTTAAATGTACAAAATATTCCTAATGTTTGAAGCATTAGGATCCTACAGCGTTCACAATCCTGGAGATCAACCCAGAGCTGAAGTTATAACCCAACGAAAAGATACGAGAACACCCAACAAATCCAAGGACCCTCTTCAAGCAAGCTTCGTTTTTCTTATTTAAATTAGAAACGATGGAGCAGATCGACTCCAGCAGCACCAGGCCATGAAGAGCCTCCACTGGTCGGGGTGAGAGAACGTAAACACTGGATCGATCAGCGGGACCAGAACCTCTCGTGGGATCAGATACCGTCTATACCAGACCATCTAGATTTAACCTTCTGATAAAGCTATGAGCTGCTCAGGTGAACAATCCTTCACTTACTCAGCTTTAGTCTCTTCAGACTTCTATATATCACCATTGTGTCTCCTCCCTCCTGTCGTCTGTCCTCACCAACACTGTTTATGTCCTCATGTGTTCACTGTTTACTATCAGAACACGCAACCTGCTTCATTTAGCAAAACAAAAGGAGCCCGGTTCTGCCGTTTCTTCCCGCTAACAGAGAATTATCGCCAACGTGCTTCTCGCAGTGAACTCAGTGGGCAGCGGTGGCTCCGTGGTTTGGGTTTAAATTTTGTATCTTTGATACTAAAAAAAAGAAAGAAGCATCTGCTCCAGGGGCCGGCGCTGTGGGTAAGGCCGACCCATGTGAAAAGAGAATTTCATGTTTCTCTAACTGTGACTGGATTTGTTGGGTTTTCCATGAATAGCTTTTTGAAGTGTTAGCCTGAACTAATAATCTAATTATTAGAGTACATAGATATGGTAGGCTCCTAATTATTTGCATAATAAACAACATAGTGTGTTTTTTGCCCGTAGTTTTCAATTCAGTGCAGTAAATTAGTATTTTCAGTAATAGCTATGATGTAGGGCGGTTGTGGCTCAGATGGTGGAGCGGGTGTTTAACTAATAGTGTCCTTGGGGGAAATACTGAACCTCAGTCTTGCATGGCAGAAAAAAAAAATCCCTCTGAGTAGGACTAAGGTGAAGAAGAGCACCAAGTAGGGTTTCACATGAGACGAGTTTTAACAGAACGCTCTGAAGACGGATAAAAGAGTTTTTAAAAAGAGCAAACGTATGATAAATAAAACAATTCCTGGCAAATCCAAGGAACTAGAAATATTCACAGCATGCAGGAATGTGCAGAGGATTCTCCAGAGAACGTTCAAAACCACACAGTCTGATGTAAACAATGCAGCTTCACTACAAGGTGGGACCTCAGCTCTGATGTTTAAACCTGTTCGGTTGATTCAATCCCAGTTTTCTACCAGACAACACTGTAGCTGTTGTGTAAAATGTGCTGTATACATAATTTGTCCATATTTTTTTGGAGAGACTGACTAATATGATCCAACAGATGCAGCCTCCACTCAAACGTCTCTCATGTCCCATCCTGCAGCAGCAGCAGCAGCCCCTGAAGTGGACCTTCTGCAGGCCCGATGGTAAAGTTAACATGAGTCTCCATCACCTTCCTGCAGCTCAATGCTCTGCTGAGGTTCACAGCAGCTGTGTGCACGCATGAAGGGAATCCTCCATGTGAGGGACTTACAGGAGTGCAGGCACTCTACGATGGTTGTAGCATCAATCAGGTATCCGGCGCACAGCGGGCAGGTGAGGTGCGGATTCAGGTCTGTGATTTTGACCCGGTTCGGCTGCATTTTCTCCATCTGGACAGACCTGCAGAGGAGAGAAACAACAGCAGAGGGGTTCATTGCACAGCACAGCGCGCTAGCAGCCTGTGGAAATCTGCTTAACGCTTCGTGTGCCCGAGTTATCCCCCACACAGCCGACGGCACAAGGTGTCTGCTGTGCGTCCTTGAAACCACAACAATCCACCAAAACAACTCCAAGGCTCGGCCAGTGCGGTGCCGGCCGTGCAGCTCCGTGCAGCCTGAGTGGAGCAGCACAGCAGCCCGCTACCCGGTCGCCCCTGTGTGGCCTCATCTTGTGCACCAGCTCCGCCGCTCCGCCAACAAAGAAGCGGCTCCATTTGTGCGGAGCTCCGCGGTCCGAGCGAGCGGCGCGACCCGGACTCATCCCGAGCGGAGCCCCCCGGACCCCGAGGGGGGCGCAGAGCCGCAGAAAATCACACTGGTACACAAAGCAGCCATCTTAAATTCACTGACAGGGCTGCTGTGAGGAGGCGAACAAGAGAGGCTCGAATGTGACACCGTGCGCTTCGTGTGCGCCTCCGCAAACGAGCGGCGCGATGTGCCGATAAAGTGCGGCCGCCCGGTTCCTACCTGATCTCAGGGAAAAGTTCTGCTCTCCTCCGGCCCGGATCCAGGTGAAGTGTTTGGACTTGGACAGAATTTGCAGCAGCGCCAGAAAATGGCTTTTTTCAGCCCCGTCAGAGGACTGCCCATTTTGTATCACGTGATTTTATTTTGTCGCCTCGTTCACGGGGCAAACGGGGTATCTGGAGTCTGCGGGGCCTCCAGCCGCCTACCTGCCCCGCACGGCCCCGCACGGCCCCGTTTATTTAGCCCGCTTTAAAAAAAAATATAATAAAATTTTAAAATGTAGGAATGAAGTTGCGGCGCTGCGCGTCGCTCCGCCTCCGTTCAGCTCCATGTGATTGAGCAGGACTCCGGCTGGAGGAGGCCCAGCAGGCCGCAGGTCCGGGGCCCGAGCCGGGGGTTGGCCCACCGACACACCGACGCTTTAATTATACATGAGCGAGTCTGGGCCAGCTTTAAGCCCAATTAATTTACAATTAAAAAAACTCAAATGCATCACTCAGAATGATTTTTTTTTTGAAGAAAAAAAGAAAAACAAACCTAAAAAAGCGACAAATAAAATAATTTATTATTGTGCAGATGATCATTTATTAAATTCTACAATTTTTTTCTAACCCTCTGAGCTCTTTGCAGTTCCTGTACACTCAAGTACTCCACAAAAAATGAAAAGTTAACAATACAATATCACACACCTGGCTGTGTCAATTAGTTTTTAATTAATTGATTAATTATTGGTTTCACTCCTATTATTTCAAGAAACTTTGACCTTTTTTTCACATTGCCCCAAACACAGAGATGTTCAATCTAAGGGGGCAAATAAAGCTGAGAAAAGCAGCTCTGAGGAGCTGGAAACAAAAGGATTGTTGATTTAATCCTCTGAACTCTGTGCCTTTACTCACTCAGGAAGCTAATCCACAATGAACATAACACAAAGCAGAGTTACACGCTCCACTGGGCTTTATATTAGAGCCTGTCGGTTGGTTTTTAAAATGAATTAATAATTGGTTTTGTCTGTGAAATCCTCAAGAACCCGTACAACAATTTCCCAGAACCACATTTCTTGCATCGCCCCAAACACAAACATATTCAACGTACAGAGAAACAAAGCAGATAAAAGCAGCACTGAGCAGCTGGAGACAGACGGACTGTCGGTTAATCCTCCCAACTCCAAGCAGTTTGTGTGCTTTCAAGAAAATAACCAGCAAAGACAATCATATAAAGTAGTGGTACATGTTGTTTAATGAACTGATAATTGGTTTCATGAGTAAAATGTCAAGAAACGGTGAAAAAGCTCCAGAAATACATTTTATTTGCATCGTCCCAAACATACACATATTCAGTCGACAACCAGAGAAAAGCAGCTCGAAGAAGTTGGAAGTTTTTGGTCTTTTGTGCAGTTTGACGCAGTCAGAATGACAGAAACCAGAAGAAAGTTGAATTTCTTTGATTATTTTTTACTACACATGCTAACAAAAGGACTAACACTCTCCATGCTGTAATTACTCAACTATTTGCACTTTTACAACCTCTACAAACTCGTTTTTCACATCCGCTCCACACAGATATGAAAGATGGAAACTTCTGTGCACTTAGACGCAGTTACAAAGCAATAAATCCCAAAATACATAATACATTTTTTAAATATTTGGTTGCAAACATTGACAGCATTGACAACTACAGGTGTTACCAATAAAAAAAGGTGTCTCTGCATACTACACATATTTTACTACTTACAGTTTTACAACCTGTACTAGCTGTAGAAAGATGTTTCACCGTGCTGAATGTATCATCCAACAACTTCTCCTCTGTTCACTGGTTCTGCTGCATTTATTTTATTTCCGCTCTCGTCTTAAGTCTAATCTAAAACTGTCCAAAATGATTTGAAATTTGTTCAAAGTAACACAAAATGACCTAAACTGACTTAAGATTTGCCCAAAATGACAATTTCAGAGTCATTTTACACAAGTTCTTTGGTGGTTTTGGACACGTTTTGGGTCCAGTTTTGAGTCTCAGTTTGAGTCTGAGTTTTGAGGTAGAAAAGGAAGGAAGAATATTGTCTCCACATACTACATATATTTAACTATGTCCATGTTTACAGCCTCTACAAACTTTCTCACATCAGCCATAGAAAGATGTTTCACCATGCTGAATGATTCGTCCAACAACGTGCTCCTCTGTTCACTGTTTCTGAGCCGTGCTGCATTTATTTATTGATCCAGTATGTCTGATTTTCCTGTCATGATAATGTTGGACAGGTTTTGACGAATTTTCTATATTTTTTTCAACCATTCTGGACAAGTTAACGTCCCTCTAGACGGCTTTTGAGCCATTATGTGCATGTTTCTTGTAATTTTGATAATTTTTTTTTGTAATTTCTGACATTTTAAAGAACATTTTGCACGATGTTTCACCATCTGAATGTATCTTCCAACTCCTCTGCTCACTGTTTTTGAGCTGTGCTGCATTTATTTTATTGAGTCTGTATGTTTTATTGTCCTCTCATGATCCTTTTTGTAAGTTTTGAAGAATTTGGTATATTCTTTTCAAGTTAATCCTAATCTAGATGTTTTTTGAGGTATTTCCTGCAAGTTTTTTGGCAATTTCTGACATTTTTTGAGTAATTTTTCATATTTTTTTCCAATCATTTTGCAAAAGCTTATGTAATTTTGGACACATTTTGAGTCTCTCGAAGCGCCTTTACTCGGCTCATCATTCATAGAGAGATGTTTCACCGTGCTGGATGTATCCTCAACAACGTGCTCCTCTGTTCACTGTTTCTGAGCCGTGCTGCATTTATTTTATTGATCCAGTCGGTTGGATTTTCCTTTCAGCCTCTCTTGTTCTGTGGAAACACTGCCTGCAGTTCATCTGAAAGTTCTTAGAATCTTGTGTTGCTCACAGCTGATCATCGGCACTGAGGAGCACAAAATGTTTTTGTTTTTGACAGATTCTTAGTTTATTTTTGGTCAATTTTAAAATGACACATGGAGAATCTTTTTTTTTTATTTTTATGAAGCATCACAATTTTAAGCTCAGATTTGGTTAATTTTA